TCTACCACCGTTCTCCAATGGTTACAATCATCGCCTAGCCGTTGGAAGGCATTCGTAGCGAATCGAGTAGCGCAAATCCAGCACGCAAGCGACGTGAACTACTGGAAATACATTGCTGGCATCGAGAACCCTGCTGGACTGAATCAAGTGGATATTCTGCAATGAAAGCGCTGGTGGAACGGTTCTGAGTGGCTGTCACGTGCTCCGGAAGGCTGGCCGAAACCAATTCCATCCGAAGAAGAAACGGGAGCGACTGATCAAGAAGTTCGTAAGGCAACACTCGTTGCGATGACCGTTGTTCAGGTGGACTTCTGCGATGATTTGTTTGCTCGTTACTCTGGTTTCTCCAAGCTTCGTCGTGTTACAGATGTCTGCTTACGCTACGTTCGTTCTTTACGAGAACGTGCATCGCTGCGCCTTTGTGATCCGGTAAAGTACACCACCCTCAGCATTGAAAACCAGCCTATTCCTCCACTGACCACCGTAGAGCTTCAACGTGCTGAACTTCGGCTCTGTCGTCTGGCACAACAGCAATCGTTTCCCGAAGAAATTGCCGATTTAGCCAACGGGGAAAGAGTTGCCGAGTCCATCCATCGACCAGGACGATATTCTTCGTGTCGGTGGCCGGTTACGAAACGCAGCGCTCTCCGACTACGTCAAACACCACGTCGTGCTATCTGCCAGACATCCGCTATCGACTCTGCTGACTAGTTTCTTTCACTTAAAGCTACTGAACGCAGGGCCGCAACTCCTGCTAGCAACTCTCCACCAGAAATTCTGGATTCTGGGTGGTAGAAATATATCAAAATCTGTCTTCCACCATTGCCACACTTGCTTTCGTAGCAAACCCACACTAGTTCAGCAGAGCACAGCAGATCTACCGGCATCCCGAGTCTCACCAACTCCCCTCTTTTTTTATCTGCGGAGTGGACTACTGCGGACCGTTCTTCATCAAGTCAACTGTCCGTAATCGTTCACCAACGAAGGCGTACGTAGCAGTATTCGTCTGTTTCGCAACGAAGGCTGTACACATCGAGCTAGTGAGTGACCTTACCACAGCGGCATTCCTAGCAGCTCTTCGTCGAGTGGTTTCCCGCAGAGGAAGGATCGCAGAATTGCACTCGGATAACGCTACTACATTCAAGGGTGCGTCGAACGCACTCAACCGCATCTATCGGATGATGGAGGCGAACCAGCCTACGGCTGAAAGCCTCCTAAATAAAGCTAAATAATAATAATAATAATCTATCGGATGCTTAAGACGGACCAAGCTGATCGTGACAGGATCTTCAACTGGTGTTCCGAGAATGAAATCCGTTGGAAGTTCATTCCACCACGAGCACCACACTTTGGAGGTCTGTGGGAGGCTGCGGTGAAATCTACGAAAAAGCATCTCCTGAAAACTGTAGGCAACACCAACATCGCCTACGAACAAATGGTCACGCTGTTGGCCCAGGTCGAGATGTGCCTGAATTCCCGGCCGCTCACGCCAATTTCAAGTGAGCCGTCTGATCTGGAGATCCTGACACCGGGACATTTTCTCGTCGGTTCCAACATGTTCCAGAAGCTGATCTGCGTGGAGTTCCTTTCAGTACGAGTACGAGCAGACTCAGAAGCCCCTTCAAAACATTTGGGCTCGCTGGTATCCTGAGTACTTGCAGCAACTGCAATCACGGGTTACCAAAGGATGCAAACCACCGGTTACCGTTGAGGTCGGTCGAATTGTCGTCATCAAAGAGGATAATGTCCCGCCTGCAAATTGGCCGCTCGGTAAGATCATCAAGCTGCATCCGGGGAAGGATGGTGTTGTTCGAGTTGTGACTCTACGGACTTCACCAGGGAAGGACATCGTACGAGCTATGGCCAAGCTAGCGCTGTTACCATTACCGAACCCAAGCATCTGAAGTCATCAGTGTTCCAGGTAGAGCAACCTGAAAGGGAGAACTTGTTCGAAGCACACCCGTTCTGCATTCAGGTAATTGCGGTTCCATTCCTATCAAGTCGAGTCATTCAATCTACCTGGTCTTCTTTTTTGTTCCCGGTAGATGGCGAGGATCTACCCCGGACCGATCATCATCTGCACCTGTGAATTCGTGGTTGATGATTGAAACACCTCCGTGTTTCGAGGTGGCCGGAATGTGGGAGATGGAGCAAAACCAGATAGACTGACCCTACCGTAAACCTACCACACAATACCCTACACATAGGCGAGAGAGTAGGTAACAAGAGACCGCATGCCCAAATAGCCTCTGTCCAACGCTCGCCTATAACCGATCGTGGACCGAACAGAAGATCCAACTCAAACCCCCCAGTATACATATTGTAAATAACCCCAAACAATAGTTGATAGTAACAATTTCTACGAAACGGACGTGCGGTCGGTATCTCTGTGTCAATCATATCACCAACAATCAATACGAAACTAACGATTTTAAATTGGCTCACTACTTGACTAGCCTATTGGTCCCAAGTAAACGATTAACGTACCCCATTCTAGTCGAAATTCTAGTACTACACAATGTTTGTTTTGATTCGCTATGAAAGCTTGACAGATAAAATAAGGGGTTAGTGGATTTTCCTATGTTTCGAGGGGTGAATCGATTAGCTTGGGACCAAAGAGAGTACCACAGCTGAGCCAAAAAGTTGAGCACATTTCTTCGGGACCTTCTAGTCTTAGAGTTACCTCTATGATATCACCGTCTCCTTGGTGTACTATCTCTCAAGTGAGAATAGTACTAGTTCCCCACGACAAAGGGCTTGGTCGTGAACGTTGCCGTGCGGTGGCAGTAAAAGGCATTTTTCGGTGACTGCCTAACAGCAGTGAAGAAACCCCTTCGGTGGTCGGCAATAGTTCGTTACGCGAACAGTACCTTTGTTTTACGATGTTGTGTCAAGTGATTAAGAATCATCACCTCTGTAAAGTTATCAAATAAATAAATAACAATAATAAAAAAAAAACTTTCAATGTTTGTTGGGTGATGGTACTTTACGATCGATTCGAATGTATAACTCATTTTCGGCAAAATTAATAATGGGACTGTTATGATGGTGCACAGGGCAGCTAGGCCTGGAAATTTTTTCCAAACTTTATTTTTTTTTGCAAATTTGTGTATCTAAGACATTGTAAAATTTGCGATAAATTAGATATTGTCGACTTCTAGAACTAGATTTATTTTGATTTGACATATTTATTACCAGTTTATTCAAAATGTAGCACTCCTCTATTTCGAAACCTGTTCTCGTCAAATGTTGCTTCGACAAATAAGTAATCACATGTAAAAAGCATAAAACATTAGTAGATCTTTTTTTTTTTTTAATATACCCAGCATTTCTGTTAAAAAATAAACTATTCAATATTCTGAAATAAATTCATTATCATACATTTAAGTTATGTTTATTTTTTTTTCATTGTCTGCAATCTTATTTATTTTTATAAATGTAGTTTTTTTTATTAATTTTGTGTGATATATAATCTAGAATGAAAAGAACTATCCACAAGTAATTGAAATAATTTCCTGATTTTGCTAATAATTTAAATTGTATGCATTTAAATTTGTTAAACAAATGTTGAACCTTAACTTTTAATATCTTCGATTATTGCCATTATGTTAATGGCATTTAAGCTATTGTCAAGCCTCCACTAAACCGAAGTTCGTGAATCTGAGCTGAGACTTCCGACGTAAAAATCCTTACTGACGACATTGGAACAACTTTTATTAGGAAAGTATGCCAAATGAAAACATCTGTTAAATAATTTCACCAAGAAAGACAAGGTAAGCCCTGGGAGTTTTTTGATAAGGCCATAAACAATTTCATCATCACGCGGAGCTTTCACGTTTTGATTTTTTTTAGATACAGATCTTAATTTGTCCAAATCAGTCCCAAGAAATCAAACACATTTCCCTTGAGAAAATATTCAGATAATCCCAAGCAACCTGATTCTCAATAGCACTAGTAAAACCCAAACTGAAATAATGGGAACTCTCGAATTGCTTAGCAAGTTTCTGAGCTATTTCCGAATTTGTGATCAAAACTTTACTATCTTATATAAGCGCTGGAATAGGCTTTGTGAGTTTTCAAAAGGGTTTGGAACTCGGGTCTAATTTCAAAACATTATTTTCAAAATTTTTGATCCTCGGGGCAGAGAATCGCTTTTAAATTTGTTTTTGCAAATCCCACCAGATAACTTTCATGGCAGGATCGCGTGATCTTTGCTATTGCCTCATACGGACATTTTTTCAGACGGATCAAGAGCTGAAGATCATCGTCTATTATAATTGAATCGAATTTAACCTCGCATTTTGGTACTGAGGCATAAGTACAAGAGCATAATCAGTTTCATCTTTGGTTTGCAAAGGATTTTTTGTATCAAAGCTATATTCCATAAATGTTCGATATTGCTCCCAATCATCCAACTGTTTGTCGTTTATCCTCCTCAACGACGGCGGCCATATACATACATCAGCGGGAAGAGGGTGTTTATCTTGGACAGCCCGATGGTAAGTTTCGACATAGTGAGTAATTTGCTGTGGTAAACACAATGAGCTTGTTGGGGTTAACGTCCTAAGCGTCAAAAGCAGGAATTACGAATTCGCCCAATAGGTCAACGAAATAGTCTTCGCGAATATGCAGGCCGAATATTTTAACAAACTGTCTTCCTTCGGCAGGTACAATCAATTCTCTATAGGTGAATCAAAATCTCCAACAGATTACATGATTACAGATCCTGAACTATTGGACCGGACTTGGCTACCGAAATCCAACCAGTAAAGCGAATCTATCTCCACCTTTTCAACATTCCCTGGCTCAACAACTCTTCCTTGAAAATGGAACTACAGCTTGTTGGTCCAAAATTCAAAAAAGTATTTTTATATGCAATTTGACAATTTATCTTAGAACCTTTTACGCTTGGAAAATACACGCTTTTTCGTTTCAAATTTGCTAGAACGATTACTTATGTTTAATTCAAAGTTCTACCACCAACCGTATTTTACTCTTACCTTGCACGGACAGCTTCCGGCTGCCAACACGCTCCGGTAGATGTCCATTGGTGGTGATGGGTTCAACGGGCAGCGTGAGGCAGGACTTTTTACACATTTCCTGGTCACTGTCGTCGCCATTTTCAGTCGTTTCCTCGTTGATTGTCTCTGCTGTGATGGTGATGCTGGTCTGTTTGATGAGAAGCAAGGGTGACGGCGGTGGCAGCGGGCTCATCGGAGGCTGCTGCGGAAGCAGTCGTTCTTGTTCTTCGTGGATGACGCCGGATGAGATGGATGCGTGCGAACGGCGCACATCTTCTGGTGTTTTAGGTGTTCTTGGCGTTTTGGGAGTCTTTGGTGGTTCACCCAGTATGAAGGTTTCGGTCGAATCCGGTTCGGTTATTTGAATAGTGGCGGTGGTGGCCGTGGGCGACGGGGTGTGCATGTTTGATGAGGGCGACGGCTTCGGAGGATCGTTCGCTGATGGTTTCTATGTTTTATTTTTTGTCGAAGGAGAATAAATCAAGATTGGAATTGATTAGATTTGTTTTGGTAGGGAAGATGTGGTGTTTTAGGGTTGTTTGTTTATGATATTCGGAATATTTACAGGGAACCTGTGCTTTTAAAAGTGATTTCATTCATTGGATTTTTTAAAGCATGCTTATATTCAATCGTCACAGAACAGAACCAAAAGTTTCCCAACTTTAAAAGAAAAAAACAAATACCTGAAGGGGTTCGGGCATTCAACTAACTCAATTTCAAACACTTTCAACTTCTGCTTTCCGCTGTCAAACTTGCAAATTCACGAATGTCAAGTAGCGATTTGGGCGAGGTAATTAATTTTTCTTGCTCCTGGGTATTGTTCTTGCAGATTCTTCTATTTTTTTGCATGATTACAAGAACGAAAATGACGATGACGGCGACGAAGGATGAAGGTTAATTATGGGCCAAACAGCGAGCGCAGAACTCTCCTGGGATTTAGTCAAAAACCACAAAGTAAGCGAAAGCAATCAACTGGTGGCGCTGGAAGGTTCTAAAATCCCGTTGCTTTCATTTACATAATTTTCGACGTTTAGCATGCGGAAATGCTACTTGCCCCCTAAGGATGGCTGGCGACCGGGTGAGAAAAGTTTAATTAAAATTTTTGGTTTATTGCTTTGAGCTACTAGGCTTATAGCCATTGGTTGGAGATTTGGGCATTACTTCCGCTACTGGGACGACTAGATAATTCAGTTCGCTCCATTTCATTGAAATGATATAAAAAAGAGAATTGCTGTAAATTGGTCTCACAAGGATTCACCGCAATAAACTAGACGATCATTAAGTGAAAATCTCAAGGCACATATTCTTTCTAAAGCTTGACTTCCGATTCCAATTACGATAAAACATAGGCTTTCATCCTGATAGGGAACGATGTCTATCCTAAGTTATTGTCTATTAGGCTCCTGCGGCTTTCGATGCATTACATAGGATTGCCTACTTTCTGCGTTACTTGTGATCAAAGCAACTTCGTTGAACATTATTTCTCCGTCTTGTGGTAACACGCTCGAAACAGCTCACGAGAACGTTCTAAAACAAGCAACAGTAGCAATATCAATCAGTCCAACAATTTTGATAAGCAATCGTTGTTTTCGCTCGTCGCCGTTGGCAAGAGTGGAACATGCATGCAGGGTAACCATTTTGACTTGAACCTTTTCATCGTTGCTGAACGTGCAAATATACACAAACAGGCACCCACATAAATTTGAATATTCTGTACGCAAAAGAATTGCGAATAACATAATCTTATATTCTAGATAATATTTTCTTAGTTTGAGCTGCTACCAGTGGCATCTGTTTCCATTATATGGCTTCATGATGGCAATGTACAGCGTTACATATTGGAATCTGGGAGGGGTTGAGCTTTTCGAATTGCTACGACTCGACCCGGCTAAGTAAAGTTTAGTACACCGTGGCATGGAACCCGAGCTTCGTGGGTGATCATGATTTTCCCCATGAACGCTCAAACAACATTATCAAAAGCGGTAAACATTGTACCTGAAATGCCGATGGGTTTGATGATGGTCGAAAATGGTCGTTGTGATGTGGGTGGAAGAAGCAGCAGGTGTGTTTAAGATATGAGAGAAAGGAAACGGTACATCCTGGCATGTGCTGACACGACGACCACATTGGGGGAATATCGCGAGGTGTGAAAGCTGACACGAGAAAACAACAGGAAATTCGCATACAAGGGTACACGGTTTTATTTTCGCTTTGCACGAACAAAAATCCGTTTTTTTTATCTGCACAACGGTCTGTGACCTACGGGCAGGGACTTAGCTAAGTCGCGTCTGATTTGAATTAAGTATGGGGAGTGTACCAACTATGGCACTACCGGACCTCTAATTGGCCTACTGCCTAAAACCTCGAAATTTTCAACAAAACCAAAATTTCTTGTACAGGACGTTCTCCAAAGCATAGATCGAAAAACTTATTTTGAACTTAATTTAGGCCATAACTGGCACACTTCTCTTGAACCGTTTTAAGAATACATGTAAATTTCTGAGCACACGTTATTAACGCAAGATTTGACTAAAACTTTTAAGATATTCCATTTATTTATTTATTATTATTAGGTCTTCGTTACGATCGCTCAGAATATTCAAATATAATTTTTAAGCCTTAAAAATAAACACTGTTTCGTCTTACTGAAGTCAAACAAATTATTAGCAATATTGAAAGCCCTTATGCAAGAACTTATTGGACTATAGAACGTCCTGTGTCTGGAGACAACGATGAAATCAGAGTTCTGTAGTTGACGCTGAGGTACATTGAACGCGATTTCCAGTAGGAGGTTGGCACTATCGATATTACTCTCTAAAATATTAAATATAACTAGTTGTTGCAGCATCTTCCGCCTGTCTGAGAGCAGTTCCATGTCTATTAAACGGTAGCGTTCTTGATAGGACGGGAGATGTACAAGATCGTTCCACGGAAGGTTTCGAAGTGCAAAGCGTATAAACAATGTTTGCACACGTTTGATACGAATTATCTGCGATACGGGGTCCAAACTAGGACTGCGTATTCCATAATAATGCATAAAATAAAATGATCAACCATTTGAAGGACTGGCTATTAACACAACGAGAGGATGCAGCATGGAGAAACAAGGTTAAGCCGACCCGCCTTTGTATGGAAGAGAACTACTTCTCTTTCAGAGGTAACTTCTACAAGCAGACGAAAGGAGCCCCAATGGGAAGCCTCCTATCCCCCTTCCTGTGTGAACTTTTCATGGCCAACTTGGAGATAATCCTGAAGGAGAAAGGACTATAACCAAACCATTCGTTCCAGCAAAAAATGGCCGCCTTCCATAACATCATTCATCGGATGCAGACTCTTCCACTCAGCAAAACAGGAAAGGTTAAGGAATTGCAGTACATCTTCGAAACAGCGAGACTCAACGGATACAAGGAGAGAACAATCCAGGCAATCTGCAGTGTTCACTCCGCAGTCGACAGAAGCAGGCCACTCTTGATGTGTGTAACGCGATCGTCTGTTTACTCGGCAGCAACCACTGCATGGCCCTCCTCATTATTATTCATATTCAGTTCTTTCGGTCGTTGCGTCGTCGACTTTGAAAAGCAACCGTTTCGTGATGAGTGTATGAGTGCTGACCACGTTTTGCGTTCATAAGAAGCGCTCTGCCCCTGTTGGCGATACTGCCATACAATGAAACCATTGGAAGCGGCTCCCGTTCGGATGGAGGAGGCTTATTGGATAGCGGAAGATAAAGTATTTATTGTGTTGTACCTTTTGACTATAGTTTTAAGATGTATTGTAAAGTGAACAAGAATCCTCAGCTCTGTAAAGTTAATTCGATTGAGCCTTATCAAATAAATTAACAAACAAACCAAATCCAGGCAATCATCGATAAAACAGCGAAAATTCTACAAAGGAGATTTTTTACAACACTCACCGCAGCATCAGCACCCTACGAATGTCCGTTCCATTTGATCAAGATATTACTTGTAAGCTGAGATCATAGTTAAATAAATTCGGATTATTTTCAGTTTTCACTAGTAAACATAACCAGTTAAAATCATTGTTAGGATCCACTAAATACCCTGTTAATGTTTTAGGTAAAGCATGTATATAAAATAAGCTGTACACATTGTTACTGAGTGCTCTGATCAAAGTAGGCCGCGCTGCGAAAATGACGTGTTTTTGTTTTGCTGCGTCGTTTTCGTTCTATTGAAAATGTTATAAATTTACAATTTCATTTTTAAGAAATGTTAATTTGAAAGTTCCGAAGTGATGTTGAAAAGTGCATTAAGTGAAAATTTCCAAATACTTATCCGTTGCATGTGGTGCCGACTGTTCTAACCTACGTGTAGTTACGCTTAGATATGTTTATTTACCTTTTCGTTCCTATGTCCTCGATAGGAAATATCCATCTAATTCAAGACGATAATTTCAAAACTTACTAAATACGCGTCAACCAAGTATTGCACTACTGCTTGATTGAAAGTTTCAGTACATTATCAATGGTGTATATTTGCATAGATAATGTACTGGAGCGGGTCTTATCATGTGTGAAAATAGCTTCGCAATGCTTGCGTTCTTGAAATGGGCAATTGTAGCTGCGGTAGAGCTGTCGCCTTCTAACTCCCGGGTTCAAGTTTCTTGCATTCATAAGAAATGATTGCAGGCAGATTTTATCCATAACGCCACTGCCAGACAGTGAGAGTAGGGCCAAGGGTGAATCATCATTCTAATCTACGATTCCACATACTGTTAATAACCTTTTACACATGAGAACCTCCTATCGATCAGAATGAATTGTGCATATGTATCATATATCAGCAAACATTTTCAGGCGCAAAGGAGCAACAGCATCGAGCTGATAACGTTTCTTAATTCCAAAATCTGAAGACTGCTTTGAATAATATGTTAGGTAATGGGCAGCAACAACGGACAGCTTCTATTTATTAAATGCTTGATATAACAATTGCCAGCAACGCTGGCTGGGCGTATCCTATGGCTTACCCTCGCTACTAACAAAAATCCACCCTTCCCGTGACACTTATGCGGGGTCGTAGAGTTCTCTGCATCTCTCTTAAGTAAGTGTCGGACTAACATTCCTTCCCTTTCCCCACCAGATGCAAGGCCGTGGCCAGGACAGCTCTGGTCGGTTAGAGGGAGACACATCCTTTATCTACGAGGTAGTAATTAATCACAAATTACTATCTAACAGCAACGGATGAAAGTGGGTCTCCTTCTTAACAACAGTTTGGAGCTCGTACCACCTACGACATTGTGCAACCTGGTTTATGCTATACTATGCTATGCTATGTACTAATTGTAATTAAGTATATTAACTGTATTCACTAGAATTAAAGAACATACAGCGGAGGTTAATAAGACTAAAAAATACGATTTTACGAACCGTATCTTCACCATGGAATTAGAGCCTCGAGATCAACAAACAACGGAATACAACTTTACTCAACAGGGATCAAGGAAACGGGCACATGACTTTTCAAGTTACTATCTAGGACACATCAGCGAGTACCTGCTTCTACAGGAGATTAGATTTAAGTTTACCTAGCTTCTAAGTGAAAAAGTACCAAGGTTAATATATATTTGGTAAGTTTAGTCGAGTATTAGTACAAGACACTGAAGAAGTCTGCTTTATTGGAGACGAAATACGCGTATCTGTCAAGGATAAGCAAATAAGGTAGTGGAATTAAATGAAAATTGCTAATCTTTCTCTCTATATTTATACCGGTACTTCACTAAGACGCCCACATTCATCAGGAATAAAACAACTTCAATCAATGCGTACATGTTAGCTGTTTTGCATTACGGCGAATAAAACTAAGCGCGGAAAAAGCTTTCAAAATTTGCTACAGCAACATGCTCATTAAAACGAAGTTTGCTGTTTGAATGTAATGGCCTTGCATTTGTTAATATTCACAGTCAAACCATTTTCTTTGCACTAGCGGAGAAGCTCATCAATGTCAGTCTGCAGTACCAGGCAGTCCAAGGCAGACGAGATGACTCTGAACATTTTCAGATCGTCAGCATAAAGCAGCTTACCAGAAGATATCCGAAGACATATGTCGTTGATGAGGAGTACAAAGCTTAGAGGACCGAGGACACTACCTTGCGGAACGCCAGATGGAATCTCAAGTAACATTTTGTGTTATGTATACCGCTCCCGTTTCACCTGTGCATACAATGCCTTGGTTTTCTTTGCATGCACGTAACCTATAGCTCATACCGTAGTAGGCTGTGTATAAAAGAAAATGATTTACTTAGTTTGACAGTTGCACCATGACGAAGTGGCCAATGTCGTAAAAAGACCGTGGGAGTGTCCCGGTGGACCGTCAAAAGGGTTTTAGACCGAGAAAAGAAAGGACAACTATTCGCGAAGGTGGCCACAGGTCGTCCGAGGTCAGCTCGGGTTCCGAGGGTTATTGCTGCTATCAAAAGGAAGATTCGGGTGAATTCAGTGCGTTCAATAAGGAAAATGGCAAAGGAACACGGGATCAGTGACTTAACGGCACGGAAGATCGTAAAGGAAGATTGCGGGGCTAATTCGAGGGCACGAAAAAAAAACTCACATCATTACCAACCGCATCCGGGAGCTACGAGTCGAACGATGCAAGAAAATCTTGAACTTCCTTAAGCGAAAAAATCCGGTAATCCTGTTAACCGACGAGAGCATGTTTACCGTCGATCCCGCATCAAATTCCAGAACCGCCCGGTTTATTAGTTCTCTTTCGGTAAAAGACGTGGCCGACGAGCACAAGAACGGGTATCTGACCAAGCATCCTGCTAGCGTTATGGTGTTTTGATTGGTGGCCTCCGATGGCAAAACAAATGGACCCGGTGTTCATTCCAGAAGGCGACAAAGTCAACACGGAGATCTACATTTTAAGTAAGTATGTTCTTCCGTGAATCAAAGAACAGTACGGTCCGAAGCCAAATGTTGTATTTCAAAAAGATGGGGCTCCGTGCCACATCTCGAACCGCACTCAGAAGTGGTTGCAGGAATATCTTCCGTTCTGGGCGAAGAATATGTGGCCACCATCCAGCCCCGATCTTAATCCGCTGGATTACTCAATATGGCGCGTCATAAAGGCCAAGGCCTGTTCTAAACATCACCCGAGTACAGCAAGCCTCAGACAAACATTGACCCGTACCTGGAGAGAAATGGATCCAGACTACATTATTAGAACCTGCCGTGCATTCCGGAAGCGTGTGGAGGCCGTTATTGCAGCAAGTGGAAACTCGATCGATGATTAACATAGTTTAAAATTTTTGAGATTTTTTTTTTAATGTTGGCGTTGCTGAATGGTGCAAACATTATCACGCATACGGTAGCCTTCTACAAGTCAAAATCATAATCTACAGAACCTTCATAAAACCAAAATTGTTACTTGGGATGTCAAAGGTAATGGAACGTGCGGAAGTCAGCCGAACAAAGGATAGCCAGTCCATAATCCAACCGGGAAATCTAATATGTTTTAGGCTAAATCTTTAAGCTTCTTTACAGCATATGCATGAGGAACCGTATAAAACGCTTTTGAGAAGTCGATGTAGATTGAATTGACTTGGTTTCGTTGCTCAATTTCAAGAAGTAGCACGCTCGTATAGCACAGCATGTTAGTCGTGGTGAAGCGATGTGGTACGAAACCAACAACTCGGAGATTATCGGTTTAGCAGCATTCAGCACCACTCCATGAACTAGTGATTCGAGAGCCTTGCCTAGACAGCAGAGAATCGAGATCCCACGATAGTTTTCCACGTGATTCCAGATTTGTAAACAAGGATCATGAAAGTAGTTTTCCACAGACTCGGAAAGGTTTTTGACGTAGGACTACGTCTGTGATTTCTATAAGGGGGTACACTTTGTGAAAACCGAAAATGAAACATGTTACAAAATTATGAAAGATTTTGAACGTCAATAACTAAGCTGCCCCTGGACCAATTTCAATAATTTTATCACAAATGGATAAGAAATATTTCAACAGATCTATTAAGTTTAAGAATTAATTATTTCAAAACATCACTATTGAAAATTACACGAATGTGCAACTGTTGCTATGACAATTAAAATTATCTTCGATTGCCTGCGAAAAGCGTTTTCGCTAAAACATATTTCAAAGTTAAATTCCATCCGGTCTCAACAAACGATGTTTGTCAATCACCGCGTGGTGTGTGGAGGTGTTCTCCTGTACACAACGAAAGGCTGCCTGCAAGCAGCGAGCTGCAGTCCACATGAACATCCATAGAAGGACGAAGAAGCCACACCGCTATTGATCGGAATCAATAGCTCTTTTTGAGTCACTGTGGGCCATCTATGCCAAGCGCGTCATACTAAAGAGTAGAAACAGAGAGAACTCCGCTCAAATTCCTATTCCTACACAAAACACAAGCTCCTGCTGTGGTTAACAAATAACGTTTATTATATAAGACCAAAAGGCTATCCCTTGTAGTTTTTCATCTAATGAACGGTTGAACAGCAGTGCGCGTAGTAGATCGTCTTGTGAAAGGTTTAAATTCAGTAGATGAAGTCCATAGACGGTATGAGGCGTTGTGCTTGTACACGTCTTTGAAAAAACTCGAGAAAATATTGGCGGCTTAGCCACATGTAACATTACTCGGTACAAGATTGCTGGATTTTTGAGGCTTCACGTGGAGTTAAATTTAAGTGCAATATCGCATAAATCAAGCAATGTTGATAACAAAATTGCAAACAGATTTAGTTGTGTATGCCAACTATCACTCAAAATGAAACGAGGGACGTTTTTACACAATGGATCAAATTTATATTTTTCTTCATCTATTTTTTTCATTAATAGATGAAAACATATTAAGCTCTGTAAACATGATAATTCAGATTCAGACGACTAGTCCACTCCACGAAACGGGTACAATTAAGGTAATCATCGGAAAAAGGCAAGAATTCCACAAATACGATCGCTTACAATCCTTACCGCACCATGTGAAATCCAGATGTCAGTACCTTTTTATCGTAGAATCCCTAGTAAGTTAAGACAACTGTTAAAAAGTTCAGCGTAGACATCGCTAATGATTAATCATAAATTTATTAATGATTAATGATTAGGATTTTCAATAGATTACTACTCATGCTTTTTGAGATAATAATCATAAGTAAATCATTAATCTTAATCATATGCGTCACATTATATTATTTTTTTTTGAAATTAACTAATCAATGAATAATCATTCATCAAGAAAATCCTCAGATCACGCAGCACTGCTTTTATGACTTCCCTAAAGTCACCTTAAGTTTTCGTCTACAATTCTATTTAAAATTCTTATCATTTCTTAGAACTCCAGTGTAAGTCACCCCAGAAAAATATTGAAATTCTGCCCAAATTTATCTAGGAGCTCTGCCACGAATAATTTAAAAATCACTTGAAATTCTCGCCAGAATGCTCCCAGTTTGATATCACAATAAACACCAACCACGAACACAACCCTGAAGCATCCATATTTAACCCGTATGGGGAAGGATTATACCCAAACAAACAAAAAACCTTTTCCAACCCACTCACTCATCCTATCCAGCTACACCTTTCACACCTCTTGAGCACATTCATTCACACTCAGCAGGCACGTACACAGAAGAACAACAACGAATAAGTCGGAAAAGAGTAGATGGGGTCAATTTACCTTCGGTGGCACGATAAGGTATGTTTCAATTTTATGATCCGCCAGGTACGACTCCCGGCCGGCTCCTCCACCCGGTTCCACCTCGAACCGATCGCCCAGATAATCCAGCGTGGACTTCGTGATGTGAACACGTCTTGTTGGACGATGAAAAAAAAAAAGCAAAATATAATCCTCACTGTGACATAACGAAAATAATGACTTGCAACGCTCATTTGAGGCTGGGAATGCGTTTGATTTTTTTTTTGCTATTCTACAAACAAAAATAATAACTTCTTACCCGGCCACGCCTCCGCTCTCCATGTGATTCGCCAGGGTGACATCGTCGCTCCACACGTCAAACTGCCACTTGCGCAATCCGAGCACACCGCACAGGACATTTCCGGTGTGGATGCCGATTCGCATGTCCACGTTGAATCCGGTCGCTTCACGGACGAATCTGTCAGGGAGGAGAAATGGAAACTCAGATTGCAGTCAGTACACTGAAACAAATCGACATGTACCGTTTATTGGATCCATCTTATAACATAGCAATGTCAGCATATTTATTCATTCTATGTGATGATTGATAGATTCCATTGGATTATCACTTAAAAACTATGACTGCGATATGGAATGATTTCTATCGTAATTTCACATACTTAGTACTTGATAATACTTTGCTTCGAACGTGGTTAGCGATAGGTAAGAAGTATATGAATATTGTCTGATATATTTCATGGTGAAAAACTGTTGATATGTCATGGGTGGGAACAAACATCTAGAAACTAATGGAAAATCATATAAGTTTGCACTATGAGAAAATTCAGTAAAATATACCTGTTTTCATGATGAATATTGCTCACTAAAATATATATCTTATAAGATAATCATGTATATTTTATTGGAGTTGCTTTTACTGATTTTTAACGTTTGTTGATATGTCGCGTGTAAATAGACATGTAGAAACTATTGGACTGTCATTTAACTTTGCAGTATAGGAAAACATGTATATCTCATTGTAATAGCTTGCTTTGATTTTTGACGTTTAAAGATTGTAAACAGATCTATCCCAATCATTAAATAGTCATATAGAAATGCCTTTTAAGAAATCCAACAGCAAGCATTTGTTTTTGCATGTTTTTCTGGGATGAATATCGCTCCCAATAAAATACATCTTACATGATTGTTCTTTATAAATTATTGAAACAATTTTCAACGATGTTAACGTACACTCATTCATATGATAATTGGTTCCAGAAAAGAATGTATTGAGATTGAAAAAAAAATGATTCTACTGTAATATTTACTTTGCTATGATTCTAATTGTAAGCCTTCTACACGGCTAATTCAGATTCCAGCCCTAAGTAGTACTCGAACTTCATGAGCCAGTTCTATCAAATCATATAATTTAGTCGTTGATTTATTGCACACAGGTGCTTTAAGAAAGATTTGAACAAACCACACCACCGAAACGGAACATAAATTTGTCAGTGCTATTTGTCTTCACTCTAGCAAAACGAGCATAAAGTTGCACTACATTCCATGTCGGGAGAGCTGTTCTTACTTCATGCTATTTGAACGAGCTCAATCTTGAAGTCAGCCGTGGCCCAGTGGAATCGAGCACAGACACCGAAAGCATCACACCTCAACAGATCTTGATCGAATCCCAAATCAGCTACAATAAAAAAAAAGGCACAACTGTGAAAGCTCCCACTGCCTGATGTTTATTTTTCGAATTTATTTTTAGAAATCGATTAAATATATGTGTCAGAAGAAGAAGTAAATTTCATGTTATTTTCACATAAACTTTACTTCGATTGATTTATGACACATATATTATATTGTGGTGAAAAGTATAGCTTATGCTTATGGGTTTCAAATCCATTTCAGTTAATTATTATAATTTAATCGATTTTCATTTATCATATGACGATCATATAAAAGTTACCAAATTATCAGCATTGTAAATGTATCAGATATTCATATAGAATTTACCTGACACATTTTCAATCATATCATTTTCAATGGATTATCTTATAGCGCAAATTTATTAGACTTCCACATAACAGGAATATGTCAAATTCGTTCAGTGTAGTGTGACGAACATTGGAAATCGTGGAGCATTAAAATGACGATGCAATAATTGAATTCAGGTTGACATTAAAAGTTTGTTTTAACGAGCGGAATTTGTACCGCTTCGCTTGGCATAGCTGTCCGAGTGAGTGCATCCACGCGGCAGTTTGAATACACAGCTTTATTATTTGATTGAAAAGTAGTCCCTAAGGTTATTGTGTTCAACTTGTATTATGGTTTAGTTTAAGTGGAAAGATTGGTTAGAGAAAATTGTTAGCATTGAATCGTTGTGGAAATTTCGTAAATAATGGAACGAAAGCTAAACTTCTGAATCAGTGCTGAGGTTTGTCATTGTCATGGACAGACTTTTGCGCGATAATGAAAAAAATGTTTATCACGTAGTCACTGGTGAACTTGATCCTCAGAAAAACCTTTGTCAAAATCTCATTCATTTTTTCGTTAATAACAAAGTTTCACCCAGTAACAAAAAGTGCAATTTCGTGCATTCTGTGTCACATTATTGTTATCCAAGCATTTCAGGACTTAGATGATTGTTCACTTTAACAGCTCCATGTAATTGTGTTGCTCAAGTCATTTAATTTCGTAACAAATTTAGGTAATAAAAAGTAAGAGGTTGTATGCAAGACACGTAGTACACAAGCAACACGACAATAGATTCGACGTAGGATTACAAAAGGTAGCTTCGATGTCACAGCAAAGAATAGTAAATATTAAATTGATTTCTTAACTCGATATCAGTGAAAAAGTTCGATAGGTTGAAATTCGGAAGCAATTTGAGAGTTCTATTTATGAGTTGCTCTGTCGATGTCCATGTAGTACAAGGCAATCCTGGACGATATGTCTTGAATACAAGCTCTTGCTCTTTAGTTAACTCTTTTATCAGCCATTTGTGGTCCGATGGGTTGCAAGCTAGGAAGTCAGTTTAGAACAATGCTGTGGAAATGTTTCCTCGATGTTCTTGGAGATGATAGTGGTGCGGAAAGGAAATATGTCTTAGGGAAAACACATCAATCACTAAATCTGAGTATACCAGACGGTACCTACGTTTATGCTTTTTGTTGCAAATTTTAAGCCCCTTCTACTAAAAGAATTCGGCAAGATTTTTTTGGCATACATAATTATCTTAATGAGGGGCTTAAAATTGCATCAAAAGGCATAAAGATAGGTAGCGTCTGTCATGCTCAGTGCTTGGTATAAGTATTCAGCGATTGTGTTAAGGAAACCACTTTTCCCATCACGGAAACGCCTCGTTTTCTGATGTCAAAATTACGCATTGACAAACGCACAGCATTTTTAGTTTATTCAATAGCGAAAATTAATTGCAGGAGTTTATAGCTAAAATTTATCCAATCGCGAGATAATCGCGATCAATCATATAAATTTGAGATTTTTTAGCTTTTTCTAGCGTCCTGGAGAAACCTTTACGAAGTTAAGGGAGGAGTACACTTTGATTTTTTTATGGTTTAAAATGTTCCTTGGGATGTATACTTTAATTTAAAAAAAGACTCCAAGTCCGCCAGAATATTCCTTACCGCTTTACGAAGCGATTTCCTAAAACATGTACCGGCGCGCTGAGAGAGCAATTTTATCTTTAAACGCGTTTATCTCGAAACGGGGTTTTTCAAACTGGCGTGGGAAATAACTCTAACCAGTTATTATCAAATTTGGATATCGCCTAGGTTTTCTTGTTCAGAATTAAATTCTGCTAAGAAATACGTATCAACATTTTCGATTTTGTCAAATATGGATTTTTAATCCACGATTTTGTAAGCATGTTTAGGGTGAAAAAATGGCAACAACTTTTGAAAAAAATATTAAAAAAAAAAAATCAGAATACGTATTTTTAACCCAAATTTCATTGCCAATCAGGATTTTTGTTCGATTTATGTTCCAGGATCACATGGAAAGGAGTATTTTCCCACGCCGTTTTCCGCGCGAGGACGCCCGCGCGACCTGGTGCACCGGCCACGGGGAGACGCCAATCGAGTTCAAAAAAATACAAATTGTAGTTCGAAGGATGACTAATAAATGGGTTATAATATATTTGCCTTCCCTGAGTGTTTTATTGCTTAAAAAAATTAACGAAAATGCCTTACTTTTTGGACGTTCAAAGTGTACTACCCCCTTAAGCAGATTCGCAGCAAAATTTCTAATTGATTGGCTTGTTTAGAACTAATATCCATCATCTCTGGATTAAAGTCAGACCACATTCATGCCGCAACCGACCTTGGTTTTTGAAATTACATTCCCAATGTTGCCTTAAAAATACATGGTATGTTAGATTGATTCCGCTTGATAACCTTGACAAAAGTCCAAAAATACGCTTCATAAAAATTTTGATAGTCCTCAAAAAGACCGTTTTGTCGTGATGGTTGAGTAATGCTGAGCTATTAGAGTGTTCAACACAAATCAACAGGCTGACGAGCTGTATGTTATTTGAAACGAGGGTGACGCGCTTGGCATATATGGCTCACAGCGACTCACGAAGATAGATTCCGATTACGTTGTGTACTGGAGAACAATGTTCAACGCCACGCGCCGAAAGTACTGCTGCTGCTGCTGATGATGATGATGACCGACCGGACACCACCACACACGCTGATTGAATAAGCACCGTTCAGTGAGAACGGATGGAATTCGATTTTGAAATCTGTGTTAGGGAAAGCGCTTTTTGCAGGCAAACGGTGATAATTTTGATCACCATTGCAACAGTTGGAAATTCGTGTAATATTCGATAGTGACCTATTTAAAATTAATAAAGTGTCCGATTTAGCAGATTCGTAGCAGAATTTCTAATCGATTGGCTTGTTTGGAATTAAAATCCAACCGCTATTGACAGAGATATATGTGATCAAAACCTGACCACTTTTCGCAAAGCGGTTAATTATAGATTCTTAAAATTGTACGCCCAATATGTTGTCGAAAGACGTAATCCTACGTCAAAAAATCTACACATATTTTTCACTGCACACTGGGCCAGAAATGCAAACTAACGGAGCAAAATTAATAACTCTGAAACGAAGCATTTCCGCGACTTGGTGTCTTGCGTAAAGTTTCTCATCATAATAAGAACCATTTATTGACATAAACAAATTATTCAAAACTCTTCCGCAAAGATAGCGCCACAATCTAACTTATTTCGCTGACGTTTTGGAGACTTTATATCTTGGGTAAAGTTGTTTGCCTTGACAAAATAAACAACTTTTTTGAAGAAGTCAAAACTCTACAGCCTACTGTTTTTGAGTTATTTTTTTCTCTTTGGGGATTGGTAGTAAAGCGGATAAAAAATAAATGGGATTTTTTTTTGTTGATTTAAGAGAATTCTTGAACATTGAAAATAGTATTCAAAATTTCCTACAATTA